AAGGTTGATTTAGCTGCTTTTGGTTGAATGTGGTTTAGAGTGAAAAATAGCGATTTGATCGATATCCCAGATCTTTACAATTAATCAGGATTGCGTATAATGAAAGAATCGAGCAGAAGCGGTGTAATTCAAAGCAGGTGAACCTGTTGAGTGATTGGCGTAGCAGCGCAGCTATTGGAAAACTATCTTCAGAGAGAAGGATGATGACCTGGTGCTTGAGGGTGTTTTTGTGCCTTGTTTCATTCTGTGTGGTTTTTGTGTGGTTGGCAGGTTATTCCACATGTAACCTGCATGAACTGAAAACAAAAAGACTGAAAGAAAGAAAGGACGCTGCTGTCGCTCGAGGTCCTATGAAGCTAGAAACTAAAGTCTCAAAAATGTAAAAAACACCAGCAGGTACTAACGGAGGCGTAATGAAGGCGCCGACTTTTAACAAGCAATAGAATACAGAATAATCACCAATGTTGCAGGAGAGACGTTTATTCTTCAGGGAGGAACCGACAACAATCACAGGACCACAGCGCACGTCAACGCGCTCGCCGCGTCCTCTCTTTCCGGCCGAATCGAGGTGCAAACTGAGCCGCGAGGGTCCTGCGATCCCCCCCCGTGCGTCCCACATCAGCACGGTGTGTAAACAGGACGTGGAGCACAGCAACAGTCAACTATTTTAAAACAAGGGCTTCGGCACACATGCGATCGCCTCCCTCGCCCGGTCGGTAGACTCAACAAAACGGATGACTTCATGGCCGGCCGCCTTGGAAGGCCTCCACAAGACAAAGGAGAGGTGGCGGGCGGTTTACCTCCCAGAGCCTCGCAAGGAGAAGCGAGGTGACAAAGGGATTTAAGGACCCGTACCAAGACTAAACAGATTCATTTTGCTGATTAAAAAAAAGGAGGAAACGCACCGAGCTGTGTTTGAAAAGCATTATGATTCAAGAGGAGCTTAAGCAGCAGTGAAAACCGCCGTGATATTCTTAAGAAACGCAGGATTTATTTTTGTGTTTTTTCACCTTTAATAATGATTTCCTTCTCTTTTTTCGCCGACTAGCAGTGTTCAATTTTCACCTCCATCTGTGTGATTATTAATCAGATCACACATCAATTGCAAGAACCAGCAAAGAAATTCAGCCTGTAATAAAACTGTCATGTGCTCTGCTATAAAGACAGATGTTGCCAGTTGTGTGATAACATAATTAAACTGTTCAGTGAGGGATTCCATAAAATTATTCAAATTGGACGAGCACTATCATTTTACCAATAAAGCAATTTAAGGCAATATGCAGTGTCATAACACTGATGTTATCCTCGCCGCCAGATTTTCCAATAAGTTGGAGCCGGTGCTCGGCCTCTTGTGACGATACAAACAGCGCACGCAGAGACACCCGAGAGCGAGGAGGGACGGAGGAGCGCGCGGGGCGAGGCTGCGAGGATGGGGGGGGGCGGATGGCGCCCGGGTGGAGGGTTTCTACGCGCGTCAGCTCTCCACGTGTGTAGCTGAGATGTGACTGATGTGGCGCTGGACGAGGTAAAGGAGCGGGCCTTGTGCCTTCGGGCTCTGAACTAGCCGTGTGTGTGTGAGAGTGGTGCACCTGTCCGAGTGCTCGCCACGGTCCCTCCCCCCGCCCACTGCGCCCGCCCCTTCTCGGAGCCTCCACCAGGGACCGTGTCAGCCCTGCATTATGCAAACAGGAAACCTGCGCCCCGCTCAGCGCTTTCTGAGCCCTCCGCTCTGCGTGTCTCTCTCTCGTCTCTGCACACGCGACGCGGCGGACACCTCCAGCACGCGGCGGGGGGGGCAGAGACAAAAAATGGCGTCATCTGGCGATATGTAACAAAGATTTTAAAAGGCATTTGTTGGAGAAAGCCGGACTTTATGGATGTGCTGCAATAAGAAGAAAAGCAATTATTCATCCCTGTTTAGTTTGGTGCTCTGTTGAGGTGCTGTTGGGTCTGTGGATCTGGATCCATCGCTGAGAGGAGGAGGCAGGCCGGTGTTTTAGAAATACCCCTGGCTTGATTAAAACGGCTCTTCTAAAAGACAGGATATTAATATTTTATTCTCGGTCGTATCAGTTGAACTGAGTTTCAAGTGAAGGAATGTAGTGCATTATTAACCCTGTGATAGGTTATAAACGCTCCGCAGGAATCGACAAAGGGATCGCGGGAGGAGTGCGTGTTGGGACGCGCGGCGGCAGAGCCCGTCCCCCCGTCCCTCCCCCCGTCCCTCCCCCCGTCCTCTCCTTGTGGCAGCGGTGTTGTCGCCGCGTGTTTGCCGTGGCAACGCAGCTTCCTGTTGCAGAAGCATTTAAAAACAGGTTAATGCACGAACAGCACGCTGTTGCTTTTGTTGTGTTTTATCTTCACTTCCTCATGAGGACAACGATAAAACCACAACTTCTGCGAGGCAAACAAAAAAAACACACACTCGGTATCCTGAGACAAAACAACACATATGTGATGAAAAAAAGATACTGTATTCATGATGCATTCATGCTTCTAGAAAAGGGAGATACTCATATATTATACACGAGCAGCCGGGGAAGAAAAGTAAGCTTCAAGAAGCACGAAAACGGTTCATAAGCAACTAACCGGTTACGACACAACCGATGTCACTCTGACTTCCTCAACATCGCTTCCACGGGAGAAGAGAAGAGGAGAGACCTTCATCCTCCCTTCCTAACAAACAATGTTTGACTTACTAATAGAGATGCTTGAATCAAGCTTATGGTCCACTTCCCCCAAATCTGACTAGTCCACAAGATGAATTCGCCTGTCAGGATCAAGATGATCAAACACATTACAATTATTTCATCCCCCATCTTTATTAATGAGGACTGTCTTTCATAGTTATGTTCCCTAATAAGAATAAATGATATGCCACTGCCAGGTTTGTTGTTCCCTGCTCACTCAGGGGAGACTCGCACATTTGCGCTTCGAGTCGGGGGAAGATTTCTAGATTGATTTCTGCACCACCTAAACGGGGGAGGAGGGGGAGGCGGGGGAGTTAAGGCATCTTGGATGTTGGGGAGAACAAAGAGCCGCGTGTCAGCTGGATGCATATTAGTGTGAGCTGCAAAATAAAAGGAACTTTAAAGACAGACAGTGAAATGCCACAGAAGTAAAATAAAAGTTGGTAATTGAGTAATTGAGCGGAGATGGTAATGCCCCCCGGGGCAATTAACATGGTTCATGGTGCATGAGTGAAAATCCGGGTTAGTCTAATGGGAAAATAAAAAGATTGCCTGCCCGCCTTTCCCAGTAACACCACTTCTGGTAAGTAGCCTATCAAAGCACGGTGCCGGGGAGCCGGGAGTGAGACATCTCGTCCTCTGTCCCCCACCCGTCCCCCACCCGTCCCCCCTTTATCACCCGCAAAGATTAACGCGCCTCGCTTCTACTTCACCCCGGACCGCAGGCCTGGAAATTAACCAGCGGATTTGTTCAAAAGGCACGGAGCAAAAATAGCGCTCGCTAGGTTCCGCGGCAGAGGGCAGAGGGCAGAGGGCAAAGGGCAAAGGAGCCGCCTCTCAATGCCGGGGACGTAGCGGCTCCCTCTGGATGACCAGCAAACACGACCGGCTGTTTAGTCATGAGGAGGCTTCATTTCATACCTCCTCGTGTCACGTGCTCTCTCTCCCTCCCTCTCTCTCCCCCTTTCTCTCCCTCCCTCTCCCCCTTGTGTCGATTGATCAGAAGCTGTAACCCCGTTGTCCTCGTGGAGCGAATCAGAATGTGCTCCAGGCTACATGACGGAGGGAAAAGTCAACAGGGATTAAGTTTCAGCTGTTTACTCAACTGTGGCCTGAAGTTATTGAAATCTCCTCCGTGGCTCAGTGTGACCACCGCGCTGACGGACGAATTCAGCGTGACGGCGATTCTCTCTCCGGCTCATTCTGAGCTGGAAGGAGGAGAAGAAGAGCCGGCCGGAGGAGCACTGGACCACTGAGAGCGAGGAGCAGGCGCCCAGAGAGCGTGTGATTAACGGAGGAGGATCTTGGCGGACTAAAGATGACGGCATCGCATGTTCGCCCCTCGTACATCTCGACCATTAACACATATGACTGACCCCGATGTGGTGGTGATCACTCCACATGCTGCTTACTATTCACGTAATACACTTGAAAATGAATCATTTTTTTCCCCCTCGTGATAAAAGACTCCAGCGATTGTGCCTCCAACGGGGGGGCCGCGAATCCCGCCGTCAACGCGGCCCGTCGTCCCGGTTGTCGCCGCGCCTGCTCTGAGAGATGACGAGCGCTGATGTGGAATTACCGGCGCGTCCGTGTGATGTTACAGACGCCGCAGCTCGTCGCCTCTGTGTGCAGAATGCTGACGGATGCGCTGTGACCGCGGGGCGGCGGCGTGGAGCCTGTGCATCTGCACCGAACGGCTCCTGACAACGGCGGAGGCGCGTCCCTCGTCGTGAGAGACCCAGATGTCCCGAGACACCCCGATCTTTTCAGAGTTGTTTCCATATACGCGCCGTCGTCGACTCACACAGGCTGACAGGTGAGAAGAGCTTGTCGCCCGCCTCACGCTCGAGGTGACGGAAAGCTTTTATGATACGTGTACAAGGTGCATCGTGAGAGGGGTTCGGGCTTCGACCGGGCAGACGCCCGGCTTTAGCGGCGCCAGATTGGACGTCGCTGGTTTTATCCGTCTTCGAGATCCTGCGGCACCTACGTGCTTAAAATGTGTCCGAACGCCGCGATAAATATTTCAAATGAATGCAGATGCTGCATGCTACGATAAACACACACACACACACACACACACACACACACACACACACACACACACACACACACAGCACTTCTCCTTCTTGAAATATTCAAAAAGGGCTTCCATATACATAAATAATAATAATAATGTGTTTATGTACTCGATGTACTTGGAGGTGGGATTAAATATTAAGTGGCACCTTAAGAGGGAGGCAGCAGCCTGCTGTTGACCTGGCTTGATGAAACCGAGACAGGTGCGAATGGGGGGGGCGGGCCTATCTGGTGCTGCTGCAGCTGCAGGAGGTCAGCCGCGGTCACCTCCATCGACGGCGCGGCGCTCTCGGGTCGGGCCTCCCTGGGCCTGCTCTCCGCCCCCGCGCCTCCATCTGAGTAGGCGCTCCGTTGCTCGTCGCCTCCGTCCCAGATTCTTGCATCATGGCTTTAAAAAAAAAAAAAAAAAACCTGGGACCAAAAAAAGGGAGAAAAAAAAAAAAAAAAGAAGGGGGAAAAACAGCTGTTAAAACACGCGGGCGATGAGGTCGCGTTTCAACTCTGGACCAAAACTATAAACATCTGTCACGTCCCTCCCCACACGTTTGACTCTGGCTGCTCCCCCCACCAGGCAAACGCCAACGCACGCCGAATAGTGACCCGCCTTTGTTCCGGCCCTTTTCCTGCCCCAGATGACACGTCCACGGCGGGCCGGTGGAGAGGGTTCCGTTTGTGTTCTCCATTATGGGTGCGGGGGCATAGAGGGAGGGGGGGGGGGCATCACAGGAGAGGAACCCAACCTGCGTTCGAGCGAGAGCAGAAGAGCCCAAGAAAACACTGAGCCTCCAAAACAAAACCCGTTCTGTGGAAATGGATATATTTACCCGCACGGCTCCCAGAAGAACCGCGGCCAGAATGGCTTTTTAATGGGAAACAGGGCGAAGGATCTCCATGAGAAAGCTCCAACCCGAGGGCCCGAGCAAAAACAGTCCCGTCCTTCAGGGGCGCTCGATTAACACCAAGATACTCAATACAAATAAACCCCATTGGGTTGGTGGGGGGGGGGGGCATGTTGTCTTAATGGAACTCAAAGGGACACATTTAATAGAGGCAGTCCACTAGATCTGCGTATCGCACGTTCAAATGTGACGGCAGCGATCTGCGTCAAACGGGGTCTTTGCTCGCTTTTTACAATCTGGGTCCTGCTTTTGGAAACACAAAAGCCAGACAGACACGATGCCCTTCCAGCCCCCCCGGATGAACCCTCCCCCTCCCCGTCTCCCGCGGGACGAGTGCCAGTGGAGCGCTCTTCTTTGTGTGTGTGTGTGTGTGTGTGTGTGTGTGTGCCTGTATTCCTCAAATCAGTGGAATGATTTACAGCTATTGTGAGTCGGTCGTAGCGTCCAGCCTCCTCATTCCGCTTAATGAAGCTGACCAAGTCGGGCAGAAGCAAATTAACTTGGCTGATTAATTATTTATATGAAGCAGAATAAATGCCTTTAAAATACTGGGCCTCATCATGAAAGAAGGTGAAAATGGAACTAAATGCAGATTTATGGTGTTGCGTTTAAGGCGTGTAATAGGAGGGGCCACGCCGGGTTAATATGTGCTCAACTACCCAGGCGCAGTGTCTCCTGGGGTCCAGATCTAAACAAGACACAGTGTGTGTGTGACGCCGTGGGGACACACACTCAGCTGACAGATAGGAAATTGAAGTTGACAACTTGTCACAGAAGCATATTTACAGAGCATAGGTGAGATAATAATCTAGACATGGAATTATTTAAAGAAATAAACAATCACCGTCTTCCAGCTGGAGTCGCTGTGGACGTCTGTGAGCTCAAAGAGTAGAAATATATTAACCGGGGCACAAAAAGCCGGACGCAGAGTTCCTTCTGGTTTTCGTATCCCAGTGAGTCATCGGACTCGGTTCCGCCGGGTGTCACGACGCCCCCGAACCCAGCAGCCTGTCTGAGCGGCTTTGGGCCCGGCGCTACAGAACCCCGGTTCTCCCCCAGACAGATGTTGACCCTGCTCACCTTCCAGTCTGGCAGGGCCTCCCTCCATATAATGGGATTTTTCTAACAAGGAGGGAGCGAGAGCAAACGCTGCGTGATGGGACGCAGCCAGCGAGTCAATCCACGACCCCCCCGACCCCCCCGTCACGTCCGGAGACATCAATTAGAAACACTCATTCTTGGAGCAGAATTAAAGGCCATTTATTGTTGTTCACCATGTTCACAACCACTTATTTGTCAAATAAAATGCTAAATATTTTAATCTTCCAAATGTAGGGAAAGCAAAGGTCATGCACATCCACAGCGAGTAAAGGGGAAGCCTGATGGGTATTATACATCGACATTTCACGCAGAATTTTCTGAATTCTAACAGAATTTCCAAATGCGCAAAAGGAATCAGGAGGACGAATTTTTTAATGAAACGCAAAAACTAGTGACCCACAATCCAAAGGAGGGAAGAGGGCCACAGAGATACAGAGTAGATGCCGCGCATGCTTGGGACCCGGCACTAATGAGAGGATGGCTTAAAATTACACCCAAATAATTTTCAAATTGACAAACAAATGAAACCCATAAGTGTACTTTCTCATTAATTTCACCAGAGAATAATTCATTGCTACAATATCGCGAGCGGACACGGAGAAAAATTAGAAATTGGAAAGGGAAGAAAGAAATTGGAAAAGGGGCGTTATCCATCATAAATATCAAGAAGATATGAAAACTCCTTATTAGAGAGAAGTGTCATCAGCTGGGCGACTGGGTCACGTGACTCGTCCCTACGCACATTTATTTACATTATATTTATTTACTCTCCCTTTGCTCAGAGGGTTTGCTTCGCCTGCTGTTCCAGTGTGCAGGAACGAGCACCTCATAAAGACCGTCATTACAAAACACATGCGTCTCCCACCTGAGCAGACAGGTCAAAGGTCAACAACAGCCCCCCCCTCCTCACGCCCCTCCCCGCCTCACTGGGACCCTAATGTCAGCGGTGGAGTCAGGGGTGGAGTCAGGGGTGGAGTCAGCGGGGGAGTCTAGGTGGAGTCAGGGGTGGAGTCAGCGGGGGAGTCTAGGTGGAGTCAGGGGTGGAGTCAGCGGGGGAGTCAGGGGGGAGTCAGGGGGGGAGTCAGCGGGGGAGTCAGGGGGGGAGTCAGGGGTGGAGCCAGCGGTGGAGTCAGCGGTGGAGTCTAGGTGGAGCCAGCGGTGGAGTCTAGGTGGAGCCAGCGATGGAGTCTAGGTGGAGCCAGCGGTGGAGTCTAGGTGGAGCCAGCGATGGAGTCTAGGTGGAGTCTAGGTGGAGCCAGCGGTGGAGTCTAGGTGGAGTTAGCGGTGGAGTCTAGGTGGAGCCAGCGGTGGAGTCTAGGTGGAGCCAGCGATGGAGTCTAGGTGGAGTCTAGGTGGAGCCAGCGGTGGAGTCTAGGTGGAGTTAGCGGTGGAGTCTAGGTGGAGTTAGCGGTGGAGTCTAGGTGGAGTCTAGGTGGAGCCAGCGGTGGAGTCCAGGTGGAGCCAGCGATGGAGTCTAGGTGGAGTCTAGGTGGAGCCAGCGATGGAGTCTAGGTGGAGTCTAGGTGGAGCCAGCGGTGGAGTCTAGGTGGAGTCTAGGTGGAGCCAGCGGTGGAGTCTAGGTGGAGTCTGGGTGGAGTTAGCGGTGGAGTCTAGGTGGAGCCAGCGATGGAGTCTAGGTGGAGTCTAGGTGGAGTCTAGGTGGAGCCAGCGATGGAGTCTAGGTGGAGTCTAGGTGGAGTGTAGGTGGAGTCAGCGGTGGTGTCTAGGTGGAGTCAGGGTGGAGTCAGGGTGGAGTCAGGGTGGAGTCAGGGTGGAGTCTGTGCTCCGCGCTGTGTTTTTCCTCGGCGGCCACCTGCTCTGATTCAACGTGTTCTCACAGCCGTGTTCACACAAGCGCACAACAAAAGCCCCGATGGAGATAAAGAGACAAAGAGAAGAGGTTCAGCTAAAGAGCTGTTTGGGTTCTGCGCTGGTCGGTAGACTAGACAGCACCCACAAAACAACACGTCCCTTCAAGGTTCCTCTTGTGTTCTGCTGTATTTTGGCTCCTGGGGCGACAAGACAAACACGAGCTGTTAAATAATCAATCATTGCAGCCTCGGCAACCAGATCCTAACAGGGGCCTTCTGCAGGACAGGACCGCCCCAACGTGGACTCCCTCCCCAACGTGGACTCCCGCCCCAACGTGGACTCCCTCCCCAACCGACGGGACTCTCGACCTGCACCCCCCTCGCCCCCCAGAGCGACGCGGCACGGCGGCGATGACGCTCTGCCAAAGGAGACTTCACAGTCAGACCAAACAAGCACACAATCTAGTCAGCCACTTCAACCAAGTCACAGATAAGCACCGCATATCTGTACACACACACACACACACACACACACACACACCCACACACACACACAAGCGCCAACGCCTCCGTCGGTAAAGCCCACATCCTTCCACCGCGGGGGGGGGGGGGGGGGGGCACGGGTCGTTTTTCCCAGCCGGCGTGTCAGCAGACCACTGCACTGAGAAACCACGCAGCTGTTTGGTGATTGTTGCCATGGCAACGGTAAACAAGGGGCGATGAACAAACACCTCATGCTGGAGCCGTTTTAATATTAACACAGTGGAATAATCAGCCGATTTGCTAGGTGACACTCGGGGGAGGCCCAGTGTAAACAAGTTGTGGGAGGGGACGGGGTGTCGGGGGGGCTTTAGGGAACCGAGGTCGATGCAGATGCAGCTCGGGGCTAAAATAAACAGCCAGGCAGAAGATAAACACAAAGTCGCTCTTCAGACGTTTCTGAAGACGTTCTAAAGCTGCTGTGTTCGCAGAAACAAAAGACAAGGCCCGGCCCCCCCCAACCCGCCCCAACCCCGCCCCTCTGGAGCGGCCTGCCGAGGATACGCGCGCCTTTCCTTCCCGACCCGACAAATGGCGGCTCCTCGCAGGGCGGCGGGCGACGTGTTAAACTTGTGTTGAAACATGTTAAACATCGACCTCGTTCAATTATTCAGCGGGCGGCTTCGTGGAAACAACAAAGGAAGTCTGAGGTGCATCAACGAGCGCACAACACGAAAGAAGAGGGTCAGAAGAGACGGCGTCCGCCACGGGGCCGAGTGCGGCGCCTTTGATTGCTTCATTAACGGCGCGACATCCAAGTCTTCCACCAATGAGCAGCGATTAGGAGGACAGGGGGGGGCAACGGGACGTTCAAAGCTGCACCTTGACCATGAATTTTTCATGAATACAACAACCTGCCATCTGCTGATGTGCAGCTAATGACGCTCCCCCACCTGAGATGCCCCCCCCCCTCACCCCCTTCCCCCTGCGGATGCCCATTTAATCCCCCCAGAAACACAGTTACCCACTCGTAAGGGGGGCACGAAATGGAGCGAGGGGCGCCAAAGCCACATATTTATGACACGCGTGGGGGCGGCGGGGACGGGACCCCCGAGCGTAA